GAACACCATGAACAAATACGGTCTTCTTGCTTTCGTTCGTAGAAGGGCCGCCACGGTTTTCTTTTTCACTTGACCGTCCTTTGGTCTGCATGTTTGTCGAGATCAGAGCGAATCAGTCAGGTTGATTCGTCACCTGTATTGTAGTCGGCTTAAACCATCACACATGGGGTGGAACGGAAGGCCTCAAAATTCACAAATCATGCTCGTTCAACTAGGCGTGTACACTTCTTAAGACATTTGTGGTTAGGATGGATTAATTCCATTGAGGACAGTTGCTGCAAACGAACGCTGCCCTTGTCTGGTCACGTGAGGTAGAGGGCGAGTGAAGGTCGCGTTCTTTGTCCCAGTCGTACTGTCGACGTTGGTTACCGTAGATGAGTGTGCACGACGACACACGCACACGGAGTTTGGCTAGCTTTTGATCCACACTGGTTACTGTAGGATAAACACCGGTGCTTGCAAATGAATGTCTACACGAAGTCACTGGCTATAAGACCAAGATGGAAAACCTAATGGAGCAAACGGTCTGAAGTGGTTTGCACAGTTGTCGGTGGACCCAGTTTGACTGCAAAACGGCATGGTGCCTGTTTGGGCGTCTTGAACGAGCATTACTGCAGTTAAGGCTAACGTATATGGCAGCGACATTCAAATCGAGTTCTAAACAATGAATAACACCTATACCTGAATACCGTTGTTGATGAAATATCCCAAAATTCTATGTACTTCGGAACGGTGCGGTGGATTCTATCCTTGAAATCGTTTGACTCGATCATCACAAACATGGAGAGCTACTTGAGATACTGCAAAGCATAGACTGTAGGTTTAGCAATAGACAAGGTAAGTCGTAAATCCACCGAATTGTAAAAGCTCTTCTCGAGTTGGAAGAGAGATTATTTATTTAATGGCGGATAAAAGTGCAGGTTTTAATCGCGTTGTCTTATCTAACTGAAGCGGAATGTGGTGTTCCACTGAGAGCAGTGTTGGGATCACGCTTAGTACTGATCTTCCTTGAAAACCTCGTGCATGTCCTTGAGTCAAATCTCTTGCTTTTCTTGATGTTATTAAAATATGTCGGCAAATAGTTAAACAGAAAGATCGTGTTTCGCTGTAGCGAGAATTGGACCGCGCTTTTGAAAGGTCAACGGTGGACCTACTCACCTTTAAGGCGAATGAATGCAAAGTGGTTAACCCTTGTCGTCAGCCAAATAGCATGCATAAACCGAAAGAGCATAGCATTCAGACCGCCTCATAGGAACGCGACCGTAGTATGGTGATTCAGGATGACATCGACTGTTTGAGGCAACTTCGAAAAGTCAAAACTCCGGGACTAACAAGTTGACCACTTACGTAGGGCATCCGAATGGTTGACCCATACCTTTCCCAAAGTGTGTTCAACGCGCGTGTGATCCAGTGTGCATTTTGCAATCAAATTTTAGCTACTCTGTCGAAAACGCCAGACCTCACAGCGAAGGTCAAATAAAAGGTAAACAGTTTGTTCCATCTGTCATAACAACTGCACAGAAGTAGTAGTAGTAGTAGTGGTAGTAGTAGTAGTAGTCGTCGTAGTAGTGGTAATCACAGCAATCTACCAACTAGATACAGATACAACATCAAATCATGAAGATCAGCGGATAAGGGACCGTCATCGCGCCGTACTCATCGTGGCATAGTAGTTAGTGAGCAACAGACTTAAGCTAATATGCCGCAGGACGAAAGGAACATTTTCACAAAAAGTAGAACAAAACATTTTTAGTTTCTTTTCCATACGCCGATTTTTCTCTATTTTGTCCTTTTCAATGTTTGTATTATTAAACATGTAAAGCAATACAATACTGCACACAATTCTTCCACTGAATCCGGTTGCGGGTCATGTCTTCAACAGTGTTAAGCTATTGATACTGCCCGTCTTTGGGTCCCCATCCTGGAAGACGCAAGGATTCAACAGCGGCTAGACACGACGTCAGCGATTTCATGTTCTGTCGCTAAGCGGAAGGTTGACCACCACGCGGTAGCCTCCAGTCAAGTCCATGACGAACGAACAGAGCGCGACGTGGTAGAGCTCAGGTACCATGCGTAGGACGTGACCGAGCCATTTCAACTGACGCAACAAAACCAGTTTGTTGTAGGGAATACTCGCATTCCATAAGATGCGACGTCGAAAGTCATTACTATTAACTCGATGTTGGCACCAAACACGAGCAATCCTCTTTAAGCAAGTGGTATTGAAGGCAGAAAGAGGACGGATGTCTTCAACGCGAATCCGCCAGGACTCGCATCCATACAACAATACTGAGCGAAATGATGCACTGTAAACACGACCCTTTAGCGAGAATGAGACGTCGTGACGACGCCACAAGTGCCTCAGATTAGCAAATGCTGATCGAGCTTTAGTGATGCGAAGAGAAACTTCTTTGTTCATAGTGCCGACAACAGAAACACAACTCCCAAGGTAGACGAAAGTATCTACCAGTTCAAGTTGTGCACCTACAAGAGTGAGCACGGGAGCAGGTGAAAGCCGATCCTTGAGCAGTACTTTACACTTCGATGGGGCAAACCTCATGCCATACTTAGATGCTTCAAACGCCACACGATCCAGAATGAGTTGCATACCCTGAGGATCGTCAGCAAGTAAGACGACATCATCAGCATAAGTCGGTCGCGCGCTCACCCGGTAGAAGCTCTAGGCCAAAATTTTGGAAGGCTTCTAGAGCATTCGACAGAACGTCTTCGATTGCGAACTTGAAGAGGAATTGGGACATAGGGCAGCCCTGTCGTTCACCACTATTGGCAGCGAATTGCGAGGAAAGCTTGCCATAGACCCTCACTCTGCCGCATGTATGAAGGTAAAGTGCTCGTAAGATGGCGGTATATTTCTCTGGCATCCCGTTCTTTAACAAGCAACCCCATAAAGCAGGTCGATCAACGGTGTCAAAAGCGGCACGAGAGTCTAGCAATGCAACCATAGTGGGCCTGTGGTAAATGTGGTGATGTTCGAGGAGCTGGCGGAGCGTGAAGATTTGATCCACGCATCCGCGGCCAGAACGGAAACCAGCTTGTTCTTCACGGTAGTACGATTCACGTATGGGGGATAGTCTGCGAAGCAGAATGTGTTATGGGGACCCAACGTCGCTATAATTATTAAAGGCTTAAATTACGGAAGGCTGAAAACCCGATTCACTCAAGTGCACATGTACTCAGAGCAGACAAAACGCACACGTTCAATCAGTCTTCCAACTCGTGTAACATGCACATTGTTTAGCCTTTGCACCCAGAAACAGTCTTGTTTCCAACCAAACACGCATTGTTGTATCCAAGCAACATTCATTTTGCCGGACAACTCTCGCCAAATTTCCAACATTTCTGCTCAGTTTACGGACTTTGCATATTTACATAAAACCATGTTTCTTGTTTCCAGGGTTTGCTTACGCAAACCTTTCCAAGGGAAAACCCCCCTTTATCACCGTTTCGTGATATAAAAATGAGGCTGTACAACGCTAGAATCGCCTTAGCTTTGGCCAGTAAAAGCGCCTGTGGCAAAGGCCTGTCTTGTTCTTTATTTAGTCTTGGGTTGGGAACTCGTGCGTAGAACTTTGCGTTCGGTCTAGGAACCCGTTCGATTCGCGTGAATTAATCTTTCGCGGCTAAGTTCCGAGAACCCACAGACTTCGAGATTGTCAGTTACCGTGCTGTACGAGAAATAATTCTGAGTCTACGTTCGTTCATCCGACTAGGAGTGTTAGTATCACATTGTTAGAACCTGACGTATTCAAGAGGCAGTATTCAACAGAATGGATGCCAATAGTTTAGAGGCAACCAAGATAATACTAATCCCGCGATGATTTGCACAGGAAGTGACTTCAGCTTGGGCAACCGAGTCGTATCACGCCCTCTCACAAAACCATAGACTGTATTACAACGTGCTCATTAGCTACTGTTTCTGCTAGTCATTTTCACGCGACTTTCTCACACTGCTCGGAAGAAGTTAGCATTGTCTACTTGGTGACTTCATCCTGATCTACCAGACTTTAGGAAGCCCCAGTAGCCGCTATCCTCATCGCTTCTGACTTAGCCGCGACACGAAATTGAAGGGACCCTAAATGATGGTGGCGTCGCAGTACACCCGGCTGGAAAGTCGCGGAAACTCTAGCTCCTAATTTGTCAGTCGTGGTCGGCCCATAGCCTAGAGGTAACGAGCTTGTCTCGTAATCTTGCGGCGCAGGTTCGAATCCGCGTAGGGGTGGGCGTCCTCGCGGTATACTCAGCCCGCGTACAAATGATAGTGGTCGCACGGCAGCGAAGCGCCGTTACGGCGTACAGATGATGCATTATTATTATTATTATTATTATTATTATTATTATTATTAATCTTGTCAGTCGTGGAGCTTACTTTAGAAGTACGTGATTTCGGCAACCACGCTATCCAGTTGCAGAATTAAAACGCGACGGTTTATTACACTATGTGCAGTAGGTGACCTGACCCGCATTCTTCGGATGAAAAAAAGTGCAAGCTTTTACTGCGTTTACCAAACACACACGAAATCGGGATAGGCGGGATTACATGTGTAGTAATGCAAAGAGGATGGTGAGTTCAGGTATACGCGGGTTATCCAGTTTGTAAACAATATTCGATTGAAATTGTGTATTCCACATCGACCGTCCTAAGAACCCTGCCAAGCCTTGGCTTCTCAGTGTGTATTACGCCATCGTTCCATTGCTGTCTATAGGGGTTAAAATGTGACTGCAACTTGCAAGGATTCGTAATTCACATCAACTCAAGTATTCGTTGTATCAAAGTATCGTCTCCGTTAAAAACGTTCGTTTGTCAAGTATTCTTTTCGCAGACTGCTTTAATGCGGATTGTACCAGAACTTTAGCAGCTAACAGCGGCATACTTGATATTTTATTGAAGAGACTGTACCAAACTTGTTCCGTTCATGCTAGAGGAATCTTATCACCACGATAGTGACACGATTTCGGGACCATCAGGGGTCCTCTTAATTTCATGAGACATTTACTGGCTTCTTCGATACTGATTCAATCCCTCCGTTCGATTCCCTGCGGAAAGGACCCATGAGCAAGTAATCAAAATCTCATTTCCTAACAAAAGCACGGAATTTCACCCTACTAAAGTGTGTTATGTCTGAAATCGTCCCGGTGTGTATGGTTGCAGTCTACGTCTGAGAAGTGCGCTGGTTGCGACCAACAATTTGATTGAGATTATATCTGAGTGTTTCATGGAAATTGTCAGTGCCACGAATGTCATGTTTGTTCACGTAGCCGCGAAAATATCCCAGCGATATCATTTGGAGCGCATTGGGACCTATATTCCATGCGTAAATTTCGAAACTTAAAAAAGCCTTCCTGAAACGTGAAATGTTAGATAGCTAGATGTCGCTGGTAGTCATATTGGCGTACAAAGAGTCCTACGCGGTAGATCAGCGCTTTAACTATATTAACAGATTTGACTATACAAAAGCAATGGGAACAGGACAACATGGGAATAATCCAAGCGGAAGCTTATACATCAAAAAGTTAAAAAAATTTGTGGCAGGCCAGCGTATCGATTGCACTTTCACAGCTATCCCGGGAAAGACAAATTTCACGAAACGAGTGGGGCCTTGCGGAGGTGGCAACCTCCGGAATTCGGTAGATCAGGACACATTATGCACCAGACGATGAATGAGAGCATTGATTTGTGCCTGAGATCATCTTCCGTGACATATCTCTAAGCTAAAAGCAGGTGTTGTCCCACGCGACACACATGTCATATGAAACGTTTCATATCACTTCCTTCCTCAGTGCTGTAAGGCGGCGTGAAAAGAAGTGCATCGAATAGTTGAGAGTAGGTACTTACTTTACATTATTCCTCCTCCAAGATGCCAGCTCTTCCAGAACCGCTGCGCATTCCACTTGCAGCGCGTCTTCTTCATCCAATAGGCTGGTTGCATCAATAGCCCCAGCTACTTGCTTTAATTGTGGGGATTCTTTAAATTCTGAGTCATCTGCCCTTGGAGACTTTTCTGTCACAATTTGAGTGTTTTTTGTTTTCTCTATGAATAGTGTTTCATTTGGATTCACAATAGTTTCCTGATCATGTGCAGCTGAATCCTCTTGCCCTGGTGCAGGTGAGCTCGGTTTTACTACCCTCGCCTCGTCGAATCGCTTGCGTAACGCGAGGTCGATGCTATCACATGCTACTCTTCCGGTGGTGGGACGAGCTACGAATCCCTCGGATTCCGACGAATCTGCAAGTCAGTAACAAGAGTGTGCGCATATGATCGAGTAACCATCCTACATGATTATCACTGAACCAAAAGTCCAGCTAAGGGGTTAGTAAACGAATCGCGTATCCAACCTTATCGAGAACACAAAATCTGCTGACCGCAGTTCTAACATGGTAAGACTGCAGCACATGGGTACCAACTGACAAGAAAAGAGCAGTGGTTTAGTGTTTGGTTAACAACAAGAAATCTGATGTGGCTGCATGCAGCCGAAGACTTTGTGGCTTCCTAAAACTATTATTGTCAGGATGTCAACGATGGAGTGCTCGACCTTGCTTGGTTAAGAATGTTGGCGAGTGGATTGTATAGCCTGGAAGGATAAACCTTTTCACAGATACAATCTTAAAGTACCTGTACCTAATTTTTATCTTTGTGATTTGATCACCGTAACCATAACTTTATAAACCAGCTTCAGTTTGTACACATACTTAGGGGATTATATTTCGGGCAATTCCCGTGACCTGTTGCAAATGTGTACCATGTGTCAGAGAAATGTTTCCCCCAGGGTAAGGAAATATTCACGCAACAAGAGCTAGTAACTCACAGGCAAAAGTACAGTTCAATACTAGCCCAGAATGTGTTTCAACAAACGGCAGCTGGAATTCAGCATTGCCATACGGTGTATCCACGAGTCGCAAAAACTCTTCGCAGGGAACTGGTGTTGGAACACAAGCGAATTTCTAAGCTCAGCCACTATTCATATGGATCTGCAGGCACATCGAGAAATTGATACTTCTTTTTCATGTAAGCTCCTAATTTTGTACTTGTGTTACTGCATGCTATCTTGTGATGACGAGCATTTGCCTCCGTTCTACAATAACCTAATCTGTGAGCTGGTGTGCTGATGATTGCTTCGGTTCGTTTGACTTCTTCACTTGGTTTTCCCACTTTCAGAAACAGTGTCTATCAGTCTTATAAGCGCTATGCACCCCGTTTTCCCACAAACGAATTCGGATTTTCGTCCCTCATCATTCTTCATCATACATTTTAGCTACAGGTAAGAGGCACCTAAGCTACTGTGCCGCAATACATAGAAGAAAAAACGGAAAATAATGAAACAGATACAAGCCAACTGAGCTACCGGTAACGGATGGGCATCTTTCCGGTATGCTACCAGCCGGCTAATATGCAGTAAAAAGCATTTACTATGCACAAGTATATAAGGCTAAATAGTGAGATCGTCGTTGGAGAGGGAGGCTAACTGGGACAAAGAAACTCACAGCACGAACGCCACTGAGGTCGGCTTCTAACCATATCAGCAAGTGTATCCAGCCAAACGTGTTCATCGTCTTTCGGACCCCAACCAGGGAGCCGTTAAGCTCCAACTGAGGCCAGCTTGGAAGTGAGAGGCTTCATTCCTCTTGACCAAGTCATCACTTGGCCACCCCTCCTCTTCTTCCATCCACACCCCCGGGGAGCAAAGAACGCACGTCGCGGGAGTCGGTGGGCTGGCATGCGCAACACGTGGCCGAGACATCGGAGCCTGGTGCGTGAAATAACGGTGCTGAGCGGTTCATTTCCTTTACCTGTACCGTAAACGAGGTGTCAGCCACGCTCGCTGCTAACTCGGTGTTCCCACCAGATGTGAGCCAAATTGCGAATGCACTAGTAGTCGAACGTAACTAGCCTCTTTATGTCCGTTGCTCTAGGGGGCCAGGTTTCACAACTCTACAGTAGGGTCGAACGTACTGCTGCATTGTACACTCTATCCTACAAGGCAAGAGTGATGTCGCTCCGGCGTCATAAGTGGCGAAGGTTAGTAAAAGCGCCTCGATCTTTTGCTATACGCGTGATCTCATCTTCAATCCACGGGAGCTGATACAACTTCCCAGGTAGTTGAATTTTCGTACGACTTCTGGCTGATCACCACCAAGCGTTAGCGCAGGATGTGGTCCAGGCCAATGCTGGAGGAACAGTTTGCACTTCGAGGGTACGAAGCAAAGCACGAAGTGAAGGACAGCCAGTGGTACTCTGTCCAATGCAGGTTGGCAAGTTTGTGAGCTGTCACAGATCAGGGCAATATCGTCAGCATACTTCAAGTCCAGAATTCATTCTCCAAGTCGTGTTCTCTGAACGCGATTTCCATGACTTCGTCAATAGCGAAGTTGAAGAGGAAAGGGGACAGCGGACATCCTTGTCTCACACAGCTGGAGATATTAAAGTGCGACGACAGCTTGCCGTAAGCCCTCACTCTGCCAGAGCTACACGCGTATAATGCTCGGATAATATTTATATATTTCTAAAGTACACCTTTCTTGAGTAGACAGTCCCAACGGGCACACCGATCGACTGAGTCGATTGCACCTTTGATATCGAGGAACACGACAACGGTGGGTCGCCAATAAACATGGCGATGCCTCAACAATTGACGCAAAATGAAGATGTGGTCAATGCAGCCACGACCTCGAAACCCGGCTTGCTCCTCACAAATCTGGCTTTCATGAGCGCCACTTAGTCTGTGAAGGATGACAGATGCAAGCAATTTGGAGGCGATGGAGATTAGACTGATTCCCCTACGGATGCTGCATCCTGATCGTGAGCCTCCCTTGAAAATTGAGACTATGACGGAGCGGCTCCAGTCGGTTGGGACAGTTTCCTGCTCCCACAGTTTCACTAGTAACTCGTGTAAATCATACAAAGAGCAGGTCCCCCGAAGTTGAAGAGGGCTAAAGGAAGACCATCTGGTCCCGCGGCTTTATTTAAATTCAACAGTGCGATCTCACGTTCGAGTTCTGAGCGAGAGGGCGTATCTAAAGGGACAGCCCAGAGAGGAGGGCGATCACTGGCCGATGAGAAATATGACAATTCCAGCTGATTAAATTGCCTTCCAAAGTGCTCAGCCTAACGCTCCAAGCGGTTTGACAAGTTGTGGACAAGCTGCCCACTCTAGTCACGTATAGCTTCACTAACACCATGTCTCCTGCTGCCCGTTTCCCGTATCAAACGGAATAACTTACGATTGTTATCAAAGGCAGCGGCCATTTCCATCTCTGATGCACGATAAGATCATCAGGGTGCGCGGTCTCCCTTCAAGCTAGCACGGAGTTTTGCCCGGAAATTTCTGCCGGTCTCACTGTGTTCGTTTCCAGCCGGAATGTGCCGGCGAGCATTGATAAGTTCAAAAGACTGCGAAGGGACCCAATGTCCATGTTGGCGATTACACTTGCTGCAAGTAAAGTTAGATGAACATGAGATCAGTGAGCTTCAATTGTATCCAATGAGCGTTTACTTAACTCGCATGTCAGTGTAGTTTGATAGGCATTCAGAACACCAGGCTTCGGCAGTTGGCTGGTGTCAGTGTGCTCACATTATCGTCGTGGGCGTCCGCCAAAACGTATCCGTAAGTCAGCACATACAAGTGCATAGTCGGTGTCCACACATGTGATCCAACTCGAGCGACAGTTCTGAACGCAGCCTCTCCATCACTAACTTATCGCAATGTGATCGATTTGCGTCCATAGCTGGTTAGAGGCTGGTGGGTGCCAAGTCATCTTCCGGCGGGTGTTGTGTCGGAAATTAGTGCTCGCAAGAAATAAGCGGGCATCTTCACTCAAATGAAATAACCGCTCGCCGTTATCATTACGGGATCCTACACTATGTTGGCCGCCCAGATGCAGTTCATCGGTGGATAATTCTTTAACTTGTGCTTTCAGATCCCCAGCCAGTAGTACAGTGTCCGAGCTTCTTCTGTGGGCGAAGGAGCTCGTTCAGTTGACGACAGAAGTCGTCATTTACTGAATCATCGCTAGAGTTTGTGGGTGAAGAGGCAGCGTTACCGAATAGATACCTGTTAGTCCCGCGTGACTTCGAAGCTTTGAACGGACCAGACAACCGGACCGCACACATCCGGCTACTGATTGGAATCCAATCAACCAGAGCAGCTTCAGCCCGGGACTCATGGCAGTACCAACACCGGATTGGCCGGTGCTCGAAGCTGCATATTCACCGGATAGGTAAAATGAGATAGCGTTATTAGTGTCACCAGAAGAGGATCGCAAAGTGAGTACAGTGCTCGTGTCTTGCAGGCAGGTCTCTGATAAGCAGCAGATATCGAACGAGAAGGTCTCTAATGTTCGGGCAAGTGTTGCCTGTTGACCGATCTGTAGCAACGTGCGTGCATTGAGGCATGCCAATCTAAAGGAGGATCGTGGGCTCCAAATGGAAGCCAGTGAACTAGGCTCGACCGCTTGCTTTGATATGGGCCAGTTGACAGGGCAGGAAGGACGTTCCATGTTCAGATATGTTGAAACTAGAAGGTAAAAGCCTATCAAAGCAAGGTGGGGGAGGGCCAAAAATTGGGAGGGGGGGTTGAAAACAGTGGGGATAAAAGTGAAGCTGGAACGGGACTATGAGGGTGAAAAAGCGTAAGCGGGGGAAGGCTTGAGCAGTAGCATCCAAACGCCTATCCACCCTGCTTGATGCAACAGATAGGGCACCGTTGATTGTCACCTGCGGTGGCCAGGACATCAGGAATTCGTTTGACCAAGGATTCAGTGTTGCGTGGGCAGAATATTCTCAGGTTGTCCAGGCCTAGACCGGAGAATGATTAGGGTTCTCAGTCAAAGTCTTTGGTTCAAAAAACTGACCGCAAGGCAGCAGGTTTGGCGTTGGGCTACAATGTGTCCGTTTCAAAGAATAAGGAGCCACCCTCATTCTAACCCCAACCTGGAGGACCAGGAGGCTGAGTTTGTCTGGCCCCTAACCATTGACCAATCTGGTATGAGTAGCTCTGAAGGTGCAATAAAAGCACCTCCCTGCATAGCTCAATGGATCGCTGAGGCACACAAACCATCGCACCACGATAAGGTCCAGCCTCATTGCGATGGGATCCATCTAGCACTTATCCTTATATTTTCAGTGAGCGGCCCGATTCAAGTCCGGTACGACAAGCTTGTACGGGTGTCATCGTGTGCTGCTTGGTATGCGCAGATGAAGCAGTAGTCTCAACATAGGTTAATCACCCA